GAGGGAAATAAAGGGCAAAGGTCCTACCTTGAGTTAGAGTGTTCTCGGAGGACCTCGAATTTAGGACGGCCGGAGTGAAACGGTTTCACCTAGTTGACCCAACATTGTAGACACAGAGATTCGATCCCCAGACCTGTGCCCTAACCCTATACATTGAACCTGTGTGTTGAGTGAGATTCGATCCCTGTGAACCTAACCTTATACTATTTCTGGGGACGACCACGACCTCCTGTCCTGAACACGTCCTCTTCCACTATGCGATCTATATCGTATGCACCATCCATCTTTGGCGGAATCATCGATCTCCTTGAAGGGAATCTGTCGGACGTGGTGCAAGGCAACAACTTGGACGCATGGAAGACTGGGTACGTATGGAGGTGCGCTGGGATCTCTATTGTGTATGACGGACCGTCCTCTCCTCCTTTGATTTCTAGGACAGGCCATGGTCCTCTATACGCAGGTAAGAGCTTCTGCGAGATGTTTTCCTCTGGTGCAAACTCCTTTTACTTGACCCAGACTAGATCGCCTACCTGGAATTGTGAAGGTCGGCGGTCTTGTTAGCTTGCTTTATCATCCGATGCTGGGTCTTTCTCAGATTGTTTATGACCTTAGCGACTTCCTGCTCGTGCTACAACGCGAACTCTCATGTGTCGGGTGGTAATCTCTGTATCTGGTCCCGGTTTAGTCCCTCAAACAGTCGCCTAGGTCTAAAGGACTTGTGTAGCTCATTAGGAGTCCTACAGGTAGCTAGGTGGACACTATTATTGTAGGCGCTTGCTACTTTGGGAAGCATCTCATTCCAGTTTACCTGATCTGGTCTAGTACACATTGTGAGTAGTTGGCTCTGCATTCTTAATTGTGATGGCGTTCAGTCCCCTGTAGTCTATACCTATGCGTAGCTCTCCCTCCTCCTTTGGGACAAACAACACAGGTGCGCCAAACGGTGACGAACTAGGCCTGATCCATCCTTTTTCTAGGAGCTCATCTAATTGTCTGCGAAACTCCTCTAACTCCTTGGGAGACATCCTATAGACTTCCCCCTTAGGCGTTCTACTGCCAAGTTCTATCTCTATACGGTGCTGGATCAGTCTGGGCACTACTCCTGAAGGTGCTTTAGATAAGTCTTTGTACTCTTCCAGCAGACTGACGATAGTAGGATGAATCTTCTCTTCCTCTTTAGCTCGTTAGAAATCGTCCTATCATAGGCTACAAACACCTGCTCTTCGAGTTGCTCCTTTCGCTCAAGTCTGGCGAATGCAGGAGCGCTGAGGCAGCAATGGGCAAGGGGATTATCTACCCCGGACTCATGGAACAGGTGGACCTTCTTGACTTCGCCTGATGCACTAGGGAGCCTGCACTCGTGCTCTCTAAGGTGAAGTGTGCCTCCTGCTGCCTCTCCCCAATCTCTGCCTAGGACAATGTCACATGGGAGACTCTCTTCTACGAGGAGGGTTAGGGAGTGTAGTACCTTCTCAACCTTCCCATCTTTCTCTAGGCGAAAGTTGGCGTGGACCCCCTCAACATACTCTTCAAGGTGCATGCTACTGTTGTTTGCAAGGATGCTGACTACAGGTTCCTCTAATTGCTGAACGTTTAGATTTAGCTTCAACTTCTTCAGCGCTTTACGACTGCTATAACTCCTAGTCACCCCACTGTCTATTAGGGCTCCTACCCTAGTTCTAAAAATCTCTATGTCTGCGAGGATCAATTGTCCTTTACTATCCTTCTTCATCTTGGCTCAGGCTTGCCTCCTCTCTCTTAATTCTTCATCTAAGCCTGTGAGGCCTCAGTAGACTCGGATACAGACTTCTAGAACAGACCTTTCTAAGCCTAACAGTAACATACCTAACTTCTAATCTACAGACCTAAGGATCAAGTCCTGTCTGACCTACAAACTAGCCTAGGACGTAGGGCAGGTCTAGGGATCGAATCCTACTCAGGTCACTGGATCTATGTACAGCTATAGGATAGGTCTAGGGATCGAATCTCACTCAGCACACAGGTTCAATGCACAAGGTTAGGGCACAGGTCTGGGGATCAAATCTCTGTGTCTGCAATGTCGGGTCAACTGGGTGAAACCATTTCAAGCCAAAAAATTCCAGAAAAAAAAAAATGTTGTGTAGAATTGCAATACAAACAACTTTTGGTTGAGGGCCACATCAAAATTCCTCACCGAAACAGAGATAAAAAAGAAAAAAGCAAAATCGCACTAAGGCACCCCCCTTTAAGCCGCCTTAGCCCTTTAAAACAAATTTATACCCCCCTTCCCCCCCCCTTGACAGCCAACTCTCAAAAAATGAAAAGAGCCTAGATTTGGGGTCCTCTGGGAGAGCGCAGAAGGACTTTTTTTTTTTTTTTTTCACGCCCGGGTACCAGGGTGTCAGACCCCCCCTAGTATTGTTGTCCATTTGAACAACGACCATTTCATGTTCTATGGTGCTTATGTGTGAACGGGTCACACTATGGTTGTATTATCCACAGAGAAGCCGCCCTGTAACCAAGTTACTACATATATACATTTATATATGTATATCATGGCTATGATCCGGACGTCCGGACCACCGTCCAGACGGTCTGGATTTAGTACGGACTCCAGACGTCCGGTCCGGCAGGTCCGGATCTGCCAAAAAAAAAAAAAAAAAAAGGACCAGGACCCTTCCCCACTGAGGAGCCAAGCCCCCAAAATTGTCTTGTTTTTTTTTCAAGCCCGGTTTTGTTTTTTTAGGGGTTTCGGACATGGTGCATCTCTATAATAATTTAATAAATTATTACTAATAACTAGTAATAAGTTAATAACCAAGTAATGAATTATTAATAATTCGTTACTTGTTAAAGTTTTTATAGTTTTCAACTTTTAACTCGAGTGTGGTTAGGAATTCTGACACGAGTCTGCGGCAAAAGTGGTTTGCATTGTTGTTCTGCATAACATATTTTGTTTTCAGATTTTTTGAATGTTTATGTTTTTTTAATGGTTCGGACATTTCCGGACCTGCATACCGGTCCGGACTGTCCGGAACCATGCATGTCCGGAGGTCCGGATATGTCTGGAAGTCCGGACGGCCGGACCTGACCGGACATGCGCCCGGTCCCCGGACATGAGCTGTCCGGGTCCGGGTTCGACGTAGCCATGATGTATATATATGTGTATATATATGTGGGTTTGTCTAGACTAATAGTGTACATGTGTTGAATATTCCTGTGTATGTGTGTGTGTGTGTGTGTGTGGCATGTAGCATGTGTGTGTCACATGAGTTTCGCACGAGTACGACACGTCATACCCGTGCTGCTCCGACCAGACACGTCGGCACACTGTGGGCAAGATGCAAAGCGCGGGGGGCGATTTTTCAACGCGGCAGGGTAAAACCATCCGTGTGTCCATTTGTGGTGAGGGTACTTATTTAAAGGGCCGTAAAGTCTAACACAGCCAAATATGCAAAAGCAGTAAGACAAAGTGAGGGGGGTGGGCACGCCTCCTCTTTTTCAAACAGACCAGAACACACGCAATAACACCCCACAAACAAACGGAGGGAAGAGGGGGAGGCAAAGGACAGCGAGGCAAAGGGCAGGGAACCAACACCTAGCATGGCAAACCACAACACGACACATGAACTTAAGAGGCACGAGAGGAGGAACAAACAGCGAGACAACACATAGGTTGAAACACATTGGGGAGGCACATGAACTTAGAGGCATGAGAGGAGGAACAAGCAGTGAGGCAGCACATAGGCTGAAACGTATGGGGGAGGCGGGAGGGCATAAGTACAAGTATTGAAAAACAGCAAAGCGGCCAGAAGAATAGAAAACAGCAAAGGACAGGCTGGAGGGTAGAGGGGAGGAGGGTGGGCAAACAAACAGCACAAGGCAAGAAACAAAGACCGAAAAAGAAAAAAAAAACTGATGATGATAGATTGTTTCGTCGGAGTTGCACCGACTCATCAGGAGGCTACACCCTCGACAATCTGCGGAATCGCCGTATTTGATGGTTTGGACCCATTGACCCTTGTTGAAGGCAGACTGTCCCCATGCGGAACATAGCACGGGCAGCAACCCTGTGGAGCACCAGGCAACACAGTAGAGGCAACACGGCTGCACAACGCCAAAAACGACTGCAAGGAACGACATGGCACGCAGGACATGCAGCGCGGCAAACATGTAGTGAAGCACAAGGCAACACAAGCAGGGCAGCCACACTGCAAGGGACGACAGGGCGAGTGGACCAGCAGCTCGGCAACCGTGGAGCGGAGCACAAGGCACCAGCACCAAGACAACCAACCTACAGGGCACACAAGCAACAAACACGGAAGGCACGGCCAACGGATGAGCAGCACAGCAGCAAAGCAGCGAAGCGCACGGCAACACCAACAACATGGCCACACCACGCAGCAAACACAGCAATTCGCAGAGAGCCACACGCGAAGCAAGCGGGACAGGCAGCAAGGCAGCGGCGGAGCGCAGACGAGGACGTCCACACATCCAACACGGAGCAAAGCAGCACATGACCTACTCACATCACGGTTGAACCCCACAGACTGATGGTTCCCACCACCCACTGAGCCAGGGAGTCACTCCGACGAACATCCGCCATCACCGACGGGCAATACAGACATCCCAAACCGAGCAGCCCCCATAAGAGTGCAGTAGGCACTCCAAACGAGGAACCACCGACTGTTTGGCACTACTTAAGGGTGCTCAGGTGGGCACACAATAAAGATAGAAAAATCCAAGGGAAGGACATACAACAGAAGAAAGACTGACAGACATAAAACTGATTGTGTGTGTGTGTGTGTGTGTGTGTGTGTGT